CTCCTGAGCAGCCTGGGGGCGTGTCCCAGAAACAAACCAAAGAAACAAAAAAGCACCCGATTAGCCTACTCAGTTATTCCCGAGAGTTCCAGGCGCCCCGCTTCCACGAGCTGGAGGCAGTCAGCAAAGTGAAAAGCGCAGGACTTCAGAGAAAGCGCCAAGGAATGCCACGACTGAGCCAGCGGCCAGTAGGCGGGGAGGGCCAGGCTGACAGGCAGCCGGCCTGGGGATGATCCCAGCACCCCACGGCACCCCCAAGTCGCAATGGGAGTAGGTCCCTGAACGCAGCGGCGTGGCCCACAAAGAATCGTGAGGCCACACCAGAGTGTGGGGCTAACACTGGGCATGCGCAAACCCCCTAGCACCAAGAACCAAGCGGCAACTCTAACACAGGGTAACTTAAACAAAGTATCTTACGTCAAAACATTAAATCAAAATAAGGAGCAGGGGGGCAGGGAGAGTCTGGCGGGGGAAACAGTTGGCTTGACCCTGCTGCAGGCAGCTCTGCTTCTTGCTTCTGTCCCAGGCGCCCACACAGTTCCCGGGCACCACCAGGTATGAGCCCCCTGCCCCCCCCCCCCCCGTTGGAAATAAAATGGAACCGTTAAAACCATCAGGGCTTGGAGCCCCGGAAGCAGAGGAAGAAGCAGGTCCAAAGAAACAGGTCGGAGACGCTAAAAGCAGCCTGTGGTGGAGCCTGGGGCCTGCAGAGACCCGAGGCACAGACCCCCAAAGCACCTTCCAAGCAGGGGATCAGGATCACGGGAACTGCACCTCAGATCAGCGGAAAGGAACTGATCTGGAGGCACCTGGATCAGAAGAAACCAGAGACGTGGATGGGAGCATCGAAGGCAAACCTCCAAGAATGGACGCATCCCCCCCACTCGAACTGGGGGCACGAGTGTGAAGACAGAAAGGAGATAAAGTAGGGGGGAGTCACTAGTTCGAAAATGCAAGCAAAGAGGGCCCGTGAGGTCCCAGATCCCCTAGAGGTCTAGCAGAGGGCCGGGTCACCGCAGGAGCCAGCCACAGTCCAAGGTTAACGGCGTGTGGCCTCGCAGCGAAGAGGCAAGTCAACTGCTCCTGAGAATTCTACTCCAAGTTCTTAACAGCTCACGCAACATCACGCTTCTCTAAGAATGGGTAGACAGTCGGAGAGAGTTCATTATGGGACAGAATACCTTTGCTATTAGCGATGGCGTGGCGTAAGGATTCCTTTACTCCAACTAACCAGTCCACAAAAATGGGGCCAAAGCAGTAAGACAGCAGCTGGGAGGGCGTCTGCCTTACACATGGCGGACCAGAACCCCAGCATCCCCGTTTGGCCCCCCAAGCACCTCCAGGAATAATTCCTGAGTGCAGAGCCAGGAGTAACCCCTGAGCATCGAAGGGCATCACCAAAATAATAAATAAAAAATAAAAGTTCAAAGATCCCAAGGTGAGAACGAAGGCAGGCAGTCAAGCCAACACGCGGGTTACTGATCTCTCAGAGGGAAGTCGATGGTGCTGACCACTGCACCTGCTGCCGGTAATCCCGGTGAAAAGGGCTCCACTGACCAAGAACCAGGACTTGGGGATGGCTCGGCGCCCTCCCTGGGGCTGAAGTCCACGGTGCCTGTGTGGGCAGACAACCGAGTTAACGGGCCTCCAGGTCCTCACTGGTTTTGCTAATAACCTGGGCTGGACCCTAAATTTTCCAGCCTTCAAGTGAAGCTCACTACTCGGACTTCGAAGGCCCTTGTCAACAGCCACTCAGGCACCTGGCGGACTGGCATGAACTTTAATTTCTTCTCTCCTAAAAGTCTCAACCCCGGTTATGCTAGAGGCCAGGAGCCTGAAGGGAGGGGCAAGGTGAGCGCCCTCTGGAGAATCTGCCCGCACAGGGCTCCATCAGCGAGGAGTGGCCTCCGAGTGACCAGCACGCATCAGGACAGCGCGGATTCTCTTGCCAATGGCTTTCCTGTTTCAGAGGACTCAATCCTGCAAGACTTTCCAAACATCTGGTCTAACCCACAGGAGCAAGAGCCTTGCATGAAAGTCACAATTTCTAAGTGCTCATCGTGCCAACATTTTTAAGCCTTCCAGGCAGTCTCAAAACTTCTCAGGGGCCGGAGCGACAGTGGGGAGGGCATTTGCCTTGCTTGAGGCCGACCTGGGTTCGATTCCTGGCATTCCATAGGGTCCTCAAGCACAGCCAGGAGGGATCTCTAAGCATTGCAGGGTGTGACCCAAAAAGGGCAAAAAGAGAAATGAAAAACCCACAAAAAAACAAACCCCCAAAACAAATGAAACCCCCAGGACACGTGAAACACCCTTGTGTTGCTGTCAGGGCTTGGGGTGGGGTACGGCTGTGGCACATGCGGCAGGTGACGCAGGCCAGCTCAGTTCCCGGAAGATCGCCTCTAGTTTGGTTTCCCTTCTCAACCTGACCGAGTCTGGGGGCCTTTACTGACACGAGAAACTCGCAATCGGATGTCACTCCTATCCAACAGAGATGAGCAGCCTGAGAAAAAGGAATCAAGCAAGGTGCCCTAAATCTGGCAACAGCGAAATGCTCAATTATGTGCCAGAAATAGAACAAAACATGGGCCTTAGCGCAGGGAGTTACAAATGTTCAGAAACAGCTGAACTGTGACCGAATACTGCAACACATCCAGCTTAAGTCGGCCTGCAATTTCACCACTGCAAAGAATAAATACACTGGTAGGGGTGCAAGACGGGAGAGAGGCGCACAGATCCGGCTCCACCCCTAGCGCCCCAGGGCTGCAACTGAGCCCAGACACAGATCTGCTCCCAGGCATCCTGAGCATGGCCGAGGAGCACCCCCCAAAACGCTAGCTGGTAGGCCAGGGACACAGGTCAATGGGCTGGACCCTGGCAACACAAGACCCGGAGCCAGGAGAAGCCCCCCAGTGCTGCCAGGTGCGGCACCAAAAACAAAACGAAACAAAACCCAACACTTCTGTATTAGCTAGACCAACATTTCTCAACTGGCGACCACATGGTCTCCTCTGGGCTCGCAAAGATAGTCCAAGGGGGCCACAGGTGGAAAGCACAATGGGGGTGTGGGGGGCGTGCTCAGGAGACTGAAAGGCCAACTGATGGGATTGGGGGTGGGAGGTGCTGGGAAAGAAACAAAGCCAGAAGGGGGCCAATCAGGAAAAGAGAGGAAAACACTACATGGACAGTGGAATACTATTCAGTCATAAAAAAGACTGAAGAGCACTCCACAGAGGGGCCGTGATCTCTGAAAACACGCTAACCAGCTACTGCCAGCTCCATACCCTCCAGCTGCATTCTAAGGAGATAGATTCCCAGGTCTACAAAGGCTCTAGGAAGGAATGATGAGATTCCCTTTCAGCTACTCCAGGGCACAGGAGAGAAAAAAGAACCACCACACAATTTAAATGTTTGCTTTATTACTTTTATGAAGGCTTCATGTAACTAAACGTGGGCTTGAACAAAACTGTCACTGCTGGGTTCTTTCCATTCTAAGGGCCTGCTCTTAAACTGTAGCGATGTGGGTCAGCGGTACAGGACAGACCTTCAAGAAGGAGGCCCTGGATTCCTTCCGCTGGTACCCACCCCTGGGTGCCTAGGATCAACTCCGGCATTAAACTCTCTGCCTGCCAGTGCGACACATACACACAACATAGGTCTGCTGACTGGCTCTGGTCTCTTCCCCTGTATGCTCAGCGTACTTTGGCTCTGAAGGTGACGCTACTCTCAATTTGAACTTGGGACGTGCACAGTTAAACACAAATCTTTTTTTTAGCTTCTCGAGGGTAATCGTTCCAAAACCACCAGGATCCAGAGAGCACATGGCTGAAGGTGTGGGAGGGCCCGCGAGACACGGATGGACCATTCACCATCCTCGTCCTGCACGGCCAACTTCAATGGCACAGACATTAAGGGGCGTTGCGAACTCTGCAACGCTGCGACCTGGCCCGCGCTGGGGGAGAGCAATGCCTGCCGAGTGCCGACTGCAAGGGACCTCCACTAGCCCAGCCCCTAACCCCACCACTCCATGCCAGAGAACCCAGGTTTCGGGTACGGCAACGGTGGGGGGTGGCCCCATCTGTTAACCTCAAGCGCACGACAGACGTAGAACGAGACTAGCCCTCGCGGTCCCCATCCCAGCGGCGCGACCGCACCGCGGAACCTCCGTTGCACGTGGCCAGTGCACCTCTACCGGCGCGGCCAACTGCGGCGCATCCCGAATGCAGGAGCCCGCCCGTTCAGCCCGGGAAGCCGCGGCCCGCGCCGAGCCCCCGACAGACGCAGCAGCAGCAGCGCTGCCCGTGACCGCGGCCGACTCCGGCTAACCGGGCCGCCGCGCGCCGAGCGCTCCTGCTCGCTCGTTCCCACGGCACGCGCCGCGCGGCCGGCACCGACGCGGGCAGCCCGGGGCCGGCGGCCGCGGCGTGGGGCCAAAGGGCCGCCCCGCGCCGCGCCGCGCCCCGCCCCGCGCCCCGCCCCGCGGAAGCGGCCTCCCGGGAGCAGTTGCGGATCCGGGCAGGGGGCAGGGGGCGGCGCGACGCCCCCCAGAGGCGGCCGGGGGTGGTGCGCGCCCCCCGCCAACGCCCGCTCGCCCGCCCGCCCGGAGCGGGGGAGGGAGGGAGCGAGCGAGCGAGGGCGGGCCGGGGGCGGCCGACAACGGGCCGGCGGCGCGTCCGTTGGGCGGGCGGGCGGGCGGGCGGGCGAGGGAGCGAGCGAGCGCGCCCCGCCCCGCCCCACGCCGCACCCCGCCCCGCCCCGCCCCGCCCCGCCGCGCCCCGCCGCGCCGCGCCGCCCCGCCCGGGGAAAGTACGCCATTGCGGCCTAGCGGGCGGCGCCGCGCCCTGGCCGCCATCTTCGGCCCGCCGCCCCCGCCGCGCCGCCATCTTTTGGGGCCGCCATACTGGCCCCGCGGAGAAGATGGCGGCGCCCAGCGCACACATAAAACATGGCTTCCCTTCAAAACAAAAACATCCCGGGGGCCGGCGCGCGCCGCCGCTCACCTGAGGACCACATGGTGACCGAGAACTCGCCCTCCAGGGTCTTGATCTGCACCTGCTTCTGCTCCCACTTCTTGTTGCCCGCGTCCGCGCCGCCGCCCGCCGCCCCGGCGCCCGCGCCGCCGCCGCCGCCGCCGCCGAGGTAGCCCTTCTTGCCGCCCTTCTTGCCGCCGCCCTTCTTGACGCGGCCGCCGCCGGCCGCCGCCGACGACGAGCCGCCGCCGCCGCCGCCGCTCTTGCCGGCCGCCGCCACGGTGACCAGCGTCTGCTCGATGTAGTCGTCGTCGCCGCCGGCCGGCGCGGGCACCGGGATGAGGATCTGGTCCTCGAAGCCGTCCTCGGCGCGCAGCCCGTCCGAGTCGTCGCCGCCCACCACCTCCTCGCGCGTCTGCACCAGGATCACCTCCTGGTGGTGGTGCACCTGGCTCGGGTCGTCGGTGACGAGCGGCTGCAGCGCGATCATGGGCGGGTGGTGGTGGTGGTGGTGGTGGTGGTGGTGGTGGCCCGGGTGCCCGTGGCCGCCCCCGCCGCCGTGGTCGCCGCCGCCGCCGCCGCCGTCCTCGTCGTCGTCGTCCTCCTCCTCCTCCTCGCCCACCACCGTGGTCTCGATGGTCTCCACGGGGATGGTCTCCACCTCGATCTCGTGCAGCTCCACGATCTCGGCCGGCATCTCCGAGCCGTCCGTGGCGATGTAGAGGGTGTCGCCCGAGGCCATGGCTGGGGGCTCGGCCGCCGCGGCCGCCGCGGCCTGGGCTCCGGGGCTGCGGGCGGGCGGGCGAGCAGGCGGCCGGCCGTGGGGAAGGCGGGCGGAGGGAGGAAGGCGGCGGCGGGCGGGCGGGCGGGCGGGGGGAGAGGGGGCGGGCGGCTGGGGGAAGGGGCGGGCGCGGCGGCGGCGGCGGCGGCGGCGGCGGGCTTCCCCGCCTCCTCGCCTCGGTGCGCCCCGCGCTCGCTCGCCCGCGGCTCGCCCCGGCGCCGCGACGGCCCGGCCGCCCGCTCTGGCCGCGCCTCCTCCCGCCCTCCGGGCCGGCGCTCCGCGGCCCCCGGCCTCCTGCGCCTCCGCCTCCTTCCACACAAATACCAACTCCTCACCCCGAGCCCAGATCTCGCCGCCGCCGCCGCCGCCGCCACACTCGGCTCCGGCCGGGCCTCGCGAGACTTGCGCGCGGCCGGCGCCCCGCCCCGCGCGCCGCCACTGGCCGGCCGGCCGCCGCGCCCCGCCCCCCGGCCAATCGGGCGGCCCGGCCGCCGCCGCGGCCCCGCCCCCGCGCCGGGGCTCCTCCCGGGTTGGCCCGGCGGGGGCTGGCCCCGCGCGCGCCGGCCGGGCCGCGGCGCGTGACGTCAGCGCGCCGCCGCCGCCGCCGCCGTCCCCGCCGCCGCCGCCGCCGCCGCCACGGGAGCCGCGCCGCGAGTCGCGCTTCCTGCCGCCCGGCGGTGCCACGGCCGCGGAGCCGCGCCGGGCCTCGGCCGCCCTCGCCGCCGCCGCCACGGGAGCCGGTGAGCGGTCCGCGCGGCCCCCGGCGCCGTGGGCTGGGGGTCGGGCGTGGGGGGGCGGGGGGCGGCCTGCCGGCGCGGGCGGGCGGGGCCGGCCCGTGCGGGGTCGCGCCCCGGCGGGGGGACGCCCGGGGGCGGGCGGGGGGGCGGCGGGCGCCCCAATAAAGTGTGCTGTGACCGGACACGCCTGTGCCTCCTTTCTCGCGGCGGGCGGCGCGGGCGCGGGCGCGGGCGCGGCCCGGGCGAACAAAGGCGCCGGCCCGGCACTCGTCGGCCGGGCGCGCGGCGGCGGGCGGCGCCGTTGGGGGCGAGCGGCCGTTGGCGCCCGTTGGGGCCGGTCCCCGGGCGCCTGGAACCCCGCGGCCCGGCCGTTCTCGCGGCCCCTCCCGGGCCCCCGGCCGTCTCGTCGCGGGCCCCGGGGTCCCGCGGCGGGGCTGGGGCCGTGGGTGCGCGCGTGCCGGCCCGTGCCGGGGCGCGGTGCCGGGCTTGGGGGCCCCCCGCCCCGACGGGCGCTCCAGGCCGTTTTCTCTCCGAGTCCTGAGTCTTAGTACCCGAGTCATCCCTGGGAGTCTGCACCCACACACGTGTTCCTTTTTTTTCCTCCTTTCTTTTCCTCCCTCCCCAAAGTTAAAATCGGTTCAAAGCATTCATTTCTGGCCTCGTCGCTTCTAGAGTTCTGTATTATATATAAATAGTTCCCGAATGAAAACCAGTTGGGGGAGAATTTTCTGCGGCTGGCCGCTTTTCACTTTCCCCCGCGCCCGCCGCTGATGAGAAACGGCCTCTGCGCCGCTGCCGGGGCCCTCCCGCGGCTGCCCGGCGCCTGGGCGGGTCTGCAGAGGTTCCCCGGGCCGGCCGGGCCCGGGTCTCCGGGCACCCGCTCCATGCACCACCCTTGGGGCTTGTCCTGGAGCACGTGACCTGTCACGCCTTGGTTTTCCCAGCCCTGCTGACAGCGTGTGCGCCTTGGTCCCAGCAGGCTTGCCCTTGCTGCTAAGTCGGGGTGTGTTTGTTTGTTTGGTTTTGAGGGTCGGGGCACTCCCTGGATTAAACCCTGGCTTCCTGCATACAAAACCCTCGGGGAAAGTCAGTTGAAAAGGATGGTGTGGGATACTGCCGCGTTATTTAATTCTGGTCTGGACAGAGTGAATTGAGCCAGTGAGCATTTCACTCTGATCTACGAGTTTGGGGGGACAAATGTCACTTTTGGTTTGTTCTGGTCACCCCCTGGCGGTGCTCCGGAGACCAGATGTGATATGGGAACTTGAACCAGGGTCGCCGCTGCCTGTCAGGAAGCACCTTTTGTCCCGCGCCATCCTTTTACCCGCATTCCCCGTCAAGTTTAGGACTGATTGATGGGATTCATCAAAAAGTACCCTTGGTAGGGGCTGGAGTGATAGCACAGCGGGTAGGGCGTTTGCCTTGCACGCAGCCGACCCGGGTTCGATTCCCAGCATCCCATATGGTTCCCTTGAGCACCGCCAGGAGTAATTCCTGAGTGCATGAGCCAGGAATAACCCCTGTGCATCGCCAGGTGTGACCCAAAAAGCCAAAAAAAAAAAATAGTACCCTTGGCACCGTGCCAGAGAAACGCTGCGTGATTGGCCATTTCCGGCGGCTCCTAAACTCCCAACTTTTAACGAAGCTTCCAGGTTCCTATGATACTGGAGACTCAAGAGTTGTTTGTGCAGGGCCGGAGCAATAGCACAGCGGGTAGGGTGTTTGCCTTCCACGCGGCCGACCCAGGTTCGAACCCCTGGCATCCCAGATGGTCCCCCAAGCACCGCCAGGAGTAATTTCTGAATGCAAAGCCAGGAGTAACCCCTGAGCATTGCTGGGTGTGACCAAAAAAAAAAAAATAAATTGGCTTCTAAAAAAAAAAAAAGAATTGTTTGTGCAAAGCATTTTAGACTCTTCCAGGGATCAGAGCTCACTCACGGAGAGAGAAGGTGGCCATGGTACCCGTGAGGACTGTGGCCTTTGGCCACTTGAGGACAGCACGCAGCAGGGCAGGGAGGTGGACTGCCGACCACATTCCGTGTCTAGCTCCTCATCGTCCAAAACATCCCTGGAGGAACTGCATTTGTTCAGAAGGCATGTGATGGGGCTGGAGAACAGGACAGCGGGGGTACAGCACTTGCCTTGCATGCAGCCGACCAGGGCTTGATCCCTGGCACCCCGTGTGGTCCCGGAGTGATCTCTGAGCACAGTCAGGTGTGGCTCGAGAAAACAAAAGGCATGTGCCAGGGTTTCGCAAGGGGCAGCACAGGGGAGGACCGAAGGCCAGGCTGAGCTGAGACCCTTGGCGCCTCCCTGGCTCTGTGGCCCCTATTCTTTAGACAGGGAGATTAACTGGAGTCTAATTCCATTTGGAACAACTGGGGAGTGAAAATTCAGTCATGCCCAAGTGGCTTCTACCACAAATTAATTTGGCGACCTCATGAAATTTCTCTTGGCCCGTCCAGGTGTCTCGTTTTGGCCTGGAGCTGCCTTGGAATTAGATCCGGGTGGGGCAAGTGTGGGGGGTGATGGGGGGCTGTCGTACAAGGGAGGCTTGGGGCTGCCCCAGCTGCTATCACCTCCCTTTGGTGGGGATGCAGCTTGGACCCTGAGCCAGTAGAGAAAAGCGGGGTGAGAATTCCTGTTCACGAACACGAACTAGCTGCCTGTTGTCCTGTCTGCAGCAGAAGGAAAGCTGTAGTCTGTGGTTTCTAAATCTGAGCTATAGTTCTTGTTGTAATAGTTTTTGAGTTGTTTAGTTTGGGGGCCACTCTTGGCCGTGTTCAGGGCTTGTGGCTGTGTGCTCCTGGCAGCTGGAGGAGCCCAGTACTAATCCCAGTCCTGCATGCAAGGCCTTACGACCTTTACTATGGTAATGGTGGTATTTAAACTTATTTTTTCCTTTTTGGGTCACACCCAGCGATGCTCAGGATTTACTCCTGGCTTTGCACTCAGGAATCACTCCTGGCAGTGCTCAGGGGACCATATGGGATGCTGGGAATCGAACCTGGGTCGGCCGCCGCATGCAAGGCAAACGCCCTACCCGCTGTGCTATTGCTCCAGCCCCAAAACATTTTTTTTTTATTCATATCGATACCAGTTTGGTGGACACAGCTTGCATTGCTCAGGGAGCACTCCTGGCTCTGCTCAGGGAGCACTCCTGACGGGGATCAGGGAGTCATTTGCAGTGCCCACCATCAGCTTGGGGTAGGCCTCATGCCAGGCCAGCTCTTTAACCCCTGCACCGCCTCTCCAGCCCTTTTTATCCTTCTCAGAATCTTTCCAACTTGGCCTTTCCCCCCTTCTCATCCATCCACGCACCCTACCAATCAGTGCATGTATTACCTCAGAGCTGAGGTGTGTAAAAATAATCACTCCTTGGGGGCTGAGAGACAGCTTCGCTCCCACCCCACCCTTTGTGGCCTCCCCAGCATAGCAGTGATCCCTGAATAATGCTGGGTGTGACCCCAAAACAATACCCAAAAAAGCCATTTATACAGTATTTGTGTTCTTTTTTAAGGTCTTAGGCATTCTTTTTCTAATGCATTTGCTTTAAAAGAGAATGAGGGCTTACTCCTGGCTCTGTGCTCAGGAATTACTTCTGGGGCGGGATGGGTGGGGGGCACTGAGCCAGGGTCAGCCGCATGCAAGGCAACTAGTCTTCGGTTCCAGGTTTCCTTTAGCTGAAAGGAATAGGACTTTGCTAAGAGTTTGCCCGTCCAGAGTTGCCGAATCAAACTCCCTCGAACTTGGCTCTGTGCTCAGCCCAGATGGAGGAGGAAATGCCCCTGAATCCCTGAATCCAGGGTTGCTTTCATGGCCGTGCAGGGCTGAGGAGCAGCTAACTGGACGCAGCCTCTGGGAGGGAGCAGGTGGGCCCAGCAGCCCGTGCTGGAAGGGCTGATCTTAGGGCCAGAGGCGGGATGTGACCAAAGGCCTGGCCTGTTGGTGAGGCCCAGGCTGGGAACCAAGGGAAGTTGGAGGAAGAAGGGGCATTCCGTCCCAAGGGACCTGGGTCTTCCTGGGCACGGGTCTCTGGTGAGACCGAGAGAGCCAGCAGGTGGCACGGTGCCCAGGCTGGTGTTCGGCTGTGAAAACTAGTGGCCTGGAGGCTTGGGGGGGTTGTTTCTAAGTGGTCTTTGCCTTTCTCCCTTTTTTGATCTCTGAGCACCCCCCGCTGACGGGACAGGGGGCAGCTTGGATTCTGTGCTAGGTCACTCTTGGCAGTGCAGGGCTTGGGTTCTGGATCTGGGCAGGGCTGAATCTGGGAGCTTCCCGGAAGCCTCCGTAGCCTTTTGTCTTGTTAATTTCTATGTACAAAGGGGCAGGTAAAAAAAAAAATTAAGTGATAATTTGGGAGGAGGACTCAGTGCTAAGAATAGAGCTATTTCGACTTGGAAATCCCTCATTTTAACAAACCAACCCTCTGGAACAGCTCTTGAGGGTTTTTTGTTTAGGTTTGGTTTTTTTTTTTTTCCTTGTTGAAGGCTCCCAGGCCAGTGACCCGAGAGATGATAGTACAGCGGGGTGGGCACTTGGCTTTGCATGCAGCCCACTGTGGAATTGATCCTCAGCACCAAATATGGTTCCCAAGGCCCCCAGAAGTCTGCCCTGGGTGCAGCTGGGTGTGGTCCAGAAACAAAAAGGTTCCCATTGACTTAGGGATTCCCCGGAGTCCCGGTTT